CGCCATGATGAGGTTCAATTTCGATTGTTTGAATCCTCTTGCCTGTCTTCTGATCGATAAACTTGTGGCCGATCGTTCGAAGGTAATACAACGACACTCTCTCCCACTCGAGAGTTTTTGTCAACGTCTCGGGGGAAGCCCGGCGAGTACCCAGCGCTAGCTCGCCGTTAGGCTCGGCAACTCCCCATACTGTCTCTGAAAAGAGTACCAGGTCATTGTTTTCGGTAGCAGGCGACACAGGCATGGTGTTAAGTCCTTCCATCTGGATAATTCCTTGCCCAGAAAAGTTGAAAAGAGTGACATCCCCGCAAATACCGCTGTTGTCGGCCTTGCGCAAATAGCTGTCTACGCTGAATGACCCTTCACGCCCCAGGAATGAGAGAGAAAAGTCCAAGGTCACCTGATCAACAGATACCGGCATGTAAAGATTCCACATACTCTCATCGTGATGATCTGTAAATGCAGAGAATAGAACCTGAACGGCATTGTCTAGCAAGGCTGGGTGAAGAACGTATTCAGTGTCCCCCGTATGGTCCCAGTCGATGTCTGCGACTGATTGTCCCAGAGATCGACGAAGGCCGCGAACGCGTTGAAACATTTCTGTATATTCGTAGCCCAACTTGGCTAGATGGTCATATACTTTGATATGGTCAAGCTCCGTCATGGTGGAGGAGAAAGGAGCTCTACCAGGCAAGAGATCATCAACCGGGGAGCCCATCTCGAGCATAATGTCCATAGTGGCAGCTGTGGAGAATTTCCCATCATCTTCCGTAGGAGGAACGTCTACACTCAACTTCGCCTGTATGACAGAATCTTCGTTCTGCGACACATTCATGGTGACCGTTATGTTGGCCCCTGAAGTTTCATCAATGCGAAGTGCTTTAAGAAATTTGACGTCCTTCAGAGTGATGCTCTGAATAGATTGCCCGGCGGCGAACTGTGTACAAGCCTCCAAGGCCAATGCAATGTAGCCCGTGGCGGGAAAAACAATTTGACCTTCGAGTGTATGACCACTCAGCCAACCCAATTGGTCAATTCTCAAATCATTGGACCAACGATACGTTGAGCCGATGTCACCATCGCCAACCCTGTATCCTAGTAGGCTATTGACACGTTTTTGAGACGTTTGCTGATTCCAAATTCCCTTCGTCGAATTGATTGAAGGTGGTGGCAGCCAGAAGCTATGCCGATGGTCCCAGGGATAAGTTGGGAGGCCAACGAGTGATAGCTTTGTGTGTTTCAAAGCATCAAAGCGTGGAACTCTTGCACTTCCCAAATGTACCCACAAGTCCCCGACGCATTCAGAAAATGCTACCAGATCAGTCTTGGCTCGGTTAAGAGTGCTAGAGTATGGAGGGGGATTCTTCCGCACAGTTGTTATCGTCTGAATGGTGGGACCCTTTAAAGCAGGATGAGGACCAACTTCTAGACAGAAATTGATATCAGGTTGGAGAGATACCGCATTCTGAATGGCATGATGGAACATGACTGGATTTACCAAGTTATCAACCCAGTAGGAGGCTCCCAATTTTTCAGAGCCCACAGAAGAAATAGGTTCTCCCGATTGAACACTTGAGTACCAACAGGGGGCGTCGTTCGAAGGGCGCAATACTTCAACTTGGCATTCTTCGAGCGAAGCCTGATATGCCGAGGAGCACTTTGACATATGATGTGAGTGATATGCGGTTTCAACATTGAGAATCCGGTTGAAGATTTTGCGGTTCGCTAGCTGGGCTTGAGCTTCCTCTATGGCATCTGCATCACCAGAAAGAGTTACACTAGATGGAGAATTTACAGCCGCAAGGGATAATCGGCCCAGGAATTCGGTTGCTGCTAGCAATTCCTCTGCTTCATCCTGGGACAATCCTGCGGCTAACATCCGACCTTCCTGATTAAATGATGATATGAATCGGGCTACATGTAGACCTCGATAAAACGCAATTCGGATAGCATCAGCTGAGCGTAAAAAGCCGGCGAAATATGCTGCGGCGATCTCCCCAGATGAATGGCCAACGACTGCAGAAAATGAGACACCATAGAATTCCTGTAATAGGTGGCCGAGCATTAGCTGGATGGCTGTGCAGGCAGGCTGACAGATTTCTGGAGTATTGATTCGTGACTCCTCAGATGGCCGCTTCAACTCCTCTCGAAGACTCCATGTCGGGCGATCGCCATCCGGAAGTGACTGCAAAGCCGTGTCTAAATCATCAAGGAAAACAATTAAGCTGGGATGTTCAGCCAAAAGCCCAATTCCCATCTGGGCCCACTGCGCACCCTGACCGGTGAAGATGCCGAGAATTTTCGAGTCTTTCAGCGGGGATTGATATCCAATCAATTCTGATTCGAGCGAACTCTTAATAGCTTGCTGAAGAGATGAGATCGAAGAGACAGGAAATCGAACACGAACAGGGAGGAGAGATCGGCGGGATGCCAACGTGGAAATCAGCTCCGTAGAATCAATGGATGGGTTTTCGTGTAGATATTTTTCATATTGTTTCAACATTGAAATCAAAGATTGTTCCGAGGCAGCAGAAAACACATAAGGAAGGGAAGATCCACTTGTTGGTAACAGAGATGCCTCTTGACATCCATTTCCAGTTGGTAGCGGTGCAGACTCTAGGATGACATGGGCATTGGTTCCTCCAAAACCAAAGCTATTGATGCTTACTCGTCGGGGAGTGTTGGATGCCATCGTGGGCCATGGCTGTGCGCTGGTAGCCACGTTCATGTTGGTACAGAATGGTGCGACCTTGTCATTCAATTGTTGAAATCCGAGATTTGGCGGGATAACGCCGTGCTGTATGGCCAGAGACGCTTTTAATACTCCAGCTAGTCCGGCTGCTCCTTCTGTGTGACCGATGACAGTTTTGATGCTCCCGACTAACACACGCGCCTCATCGGGCTGTGATGATGTGAGCGAGAAAGCCATGGCTAAAGCTTCGGCTTCCAAGGGATCCCCCGCTTGAGTGCCTGTACCATGGGCCTCAATATATTGTGGTCGGTCGGAAGGTTTCGTGGGATCTAACCCTGCTCGATGATAAACATCCCGAATGAGGCTTGTCTGAGCAGATGCGCTTGGCAAGGTAATTCCACTGGTTCGTCCGTTATGATTGACGCCAGTTTCTCGGATGACACATTGTATATTGTCACCATCTGCCAGAGCAAGTCGGAGCGGTTTTAACAGCATGGCAAGAATCCCTTCGCCCCTTGCATAGCCGTCGGCATTGGTATCCCACATCTTGCAGCTTCCTGTGGGGGAAAGCATCCCCATGTTGTTAAAACCGATAAATGGGCGACCATCAAGAAGCAAATTGGCCCCTGCTGCCACAGCAAGAGTTGACGAGCCACTCCGCAACTGCTGCACTGCATGGTCTAGAGCCACCAGACTAGATGAGCAGGCAGTATCAACGGTAACTGAAGGCCCGTGCCAATCGAAGAAATATGAAATTCGATTCGACGCCTTATTTGGGGCAGTGCCGGTGATATGATATTTGGGAATAGCCATGTGATCCTGGCTGCTGAGTGAGAGATAGTCGTGAAACATCACTCCCGTATAGACCGCGGTATCAGAGCCGCGCAGTGTCTCCGCAGGAAGTCCCGCTTCCTCTAGAGCTTCATATACTGTCTCGAGCAATAATCGGTGCTGGGGGTCCATTGCTTGTGCTTCCAACGGACTGAGACTGAAGAATGATGCATCAAATTCTCGCACATCTTGTGAGAGAAAATACCCTCGCGGCAAGGAATCATGGCGCGAGGCAGAAGCTCGATCCGGGGGGAACTCCTGAGAAACATCGTAAGGGGTGTGAAGAAGATTCCAAAGTTCAGAAGGAGATTGACATCCTCCGGCTAGACGACAACCACTACCGATAATGGCAATGGGTTCATTCATACTGATTTGGAAAGATGTTGAAATCAATTGATGAGAACATATGCGGGAATGTCCGTATATAAGGTATTTAATATGGTTGAAAATTGCCCAGTGAACTGGAATACACGGTATGGGATAATCCCATCTCAAGAAAGATGTACGGCAAAACCCCGAATAGCATCATCTCATGTATTGATGCCTCGACAAGCATGTGACATGACGAACTAGCATCATTGGCCCCAAACCCTATGCTAGTACTAACCTGCGAAATACATTGAACAGCAGTGAACGGAGCCCACAATACCGAAAATCTGATTGCGATTAAAATCATATGAGATGCTCAAAGCTCAAGCACCCCTAGCAGATAGTATTCAGAATGATTCTGATTGACTCGCTTTTCTCCGACTACATCTGCCGATGCATCGGAGGAATCCGATTTCTGATCGATTTGACCAATTGAATGTGCTTCTTTGATTAGCTAGTTCCTCTCGCTACTGCAGGAGAAGGGGTTGGAAAAAGACGAACACGTACAACTCCTCCCTCCAGCTTTAGCCTATATTTTTTCCATTAATTAAAGTATGAAGCTCTGTGAGGGCTATGCAGCTCACACTATAATTCAGATCGCTAAATCTCTATGCCAACAAACCTTGTACTTGATATACAACCTGCGAGTAATGTATAAAATCAAAAGTATATCTCGTTCTTATTTCATACAACACTAATGATATTTTGGGTATCAATACATGAAATGTTGCTATATGAGGTTGTTACCGTATATTATAACCTTAGACAACAACACAAACGACATACATTAGCAATAACCACCATAATCTATACTTCCGCTCATTAACAAGATCCTAACCAATATAGGTACCATCTGACTCATGCCAGATATTCGTGCTGGCTGAAAGTATGCAACACCGACGCTATGAAGACCAGATTACTCCTCTTGCAGCCCACTATCTTGTGGTATATGCATCTCATTTCGAAATTGTATACTTTCTGGCCACGTGGGTACCCGTATGCCTGTTTGAAGAAGCAGTAACAGAGACGCATCACATCTCGGGTGTACCGGATTGCGTGGCTAATGCATTTAGCATCAAGGCCCCTGAAGCAAATCCTTCAGAATCTCTCACATCAAGCTTGGGGCAGTCTGCAGGAAATTTGACACCTTGCGCACCATAGCGGGGTCGCGGGAAATCTCATGCCCGCCATTTGTCTCCACAATGTGAGCATTGGTCGCGGTGCAGAACGTCGTCAGAATAGTGGATTCACCCCTGTATGTATCCTTGGAGCCAATGACGTGCAAGGAAGGAATATCGATGCAACCCAAGGGATTCCAACGCAAAGGAGACCTTCCAAAGGGCCATAGTAGCTCTGTTTCTGAATCCCAGTTACCCTTGAGTAGTGGATGGTATGCAGCTCCAAAAACACTTGTAATATCATCTGTGGAGCACACCACTTTTGAGGCTTTTGATGGCCCTCCAAGTGATCGACACTTTCCGTCATGTGATAGTGTAAATCCTGGGCTGTCTAGATCCCAACATTGAATTGCGCAAAAAAACACGGCACATCGAAAGTCATCTCTGGGATGCTGGCGGGTGGAGTCGTGTAGAAGGAACGAGGCTGCAAGTGCAGCTCCTTGTGAGAATCCTAGAATTCCATCGAAGGGACCTTGCGTGTCGATGAAGTCTTCCAAGTGGTCAATCGCTGCCAGTACGGCATCTGGAGAAGGAACGGTAAAATAGGAATAATATGGTCCCGGAAAGAACATTTCGACTCCTATTTGTGACTGTCAGTTTTATGATACACGGAGGACCTGTTTGGGGTTCCTGACCTGGCGCAGGCGGAGTCTCTATTTCTCCCTGAAAAAAGACGAATTCATGACCTGGAAGTTGACGCCTGATCATGAACAATTGGGCTTCGAGAATGGCCTTCCCAGTACCGATGCCGTGCAAACATAGGAATCGCATAGTTACAAGTATTCAATTTGTGCGTATCTGAATGGTTTCGAGATTGTTCGGTTTACGAGAGGCCTTTTTATATAGCCCAATGTCTTTTACTAGAGACTCTTTCTGGATAAATAGTTAGAAACTATGGTTGACACCTGCGATGGTACTTGTTCTGAAACCTGATACATTGATTTCATAATTATACATAAAGTCTATGCAAAACTACATTTTATCTTGGTTTTCATTAGAAACTAGTTAATTGATTGATTAAAATGATGCTTCTTCCAGGTACCACCACATTACACTAGTAATGGTTGTTGAAATCTAATGTGATAAGTTAAGTCAGTGAAATATTCTGTGTTATTCAGGACCCAAAGACGCTTTCACGTGTTAAAATGAGCATTCACCTTAGAATCTAATCGCTCCGTAACACCTGCATGTAATCTTCAAGTGAAAATTATCTTTTCGAGGTCAAAATGTAGTTCTAACTAGTACCGATCACGAGTGGCAAAGTCTATAATCTGCAGAAGCATGCCTTAACTTGTAACCACCTCACTTGCAGACAATGTCTCCAGGATATCACACCGCAAGTTCAAGATCTATCTGAACTTTCAGCTGTGTAACAGAAAACAGTGAAGCGATCTAGATCAGCAGGTGTAGAGCATGCAATACAACCCAAGGGAAAGACTCTTCAGCTAGCCACCAAATTTCCTTATTTATAGCCTCAGAATACAGTAAAACCCAAAGTCGATCTCGGTATCATCTCACAGTTCTCTTTTCGTCTCTCTATCACTGAAGCGAGAGCAAAATGGCCAAACTCGACTCAGAGTTCAAGCCCCCTCAATTCAACTTTGTGCGCGAAGTTGTTGATCAATGGAGTCGACATCGTGGAGACTCTCCCGCATTGGTTCTAGTCACGCAGAAAAGGCGCAAAGATGTGTCTTATCGTGAGCTGAGTGAGCGCTCTATACAAGTTGCATCGGCGCTTTCTGAGCTAGGACTTCGACCAGGAGACACCATAGTGATTTCGGCAGCACGGTGTCGAGACTGGTATGAGATTCTATGTGCCTGTCTCCGCAGTGGAATTATTGTCTGCCCTGTTGCTAGTGGACTCTCTGGCGCAGATCTGGAACATCGCATTAAGAAAGTTCACGCGAAAGCATTCATTGGTGACCTTGCTCAGGTGGAAAAGGTATTGCTTGTCAGACCCCGTCTCGCTTCGCTACAGCACATGATTCAGATTGGTTATGATGATAGGATCGCAGATGCGATCGACTACTCGGTCTTGGTAGCTACAGGTCAGGCAAATATAGTGGAAACAACGATCAATTCAGTGGCAAACTCCCCTGCCGTCCTGTATTTCACATCCGGCACGACTGGGGAACCCAAGACCGCCCAACACAGCCAAGTTTCTCTGGCTCTAAGTAGCAAGATTGCTGGAGAACACTGGGCTCAGCTTTCTCCCGGTAGCCTCTTCTGGAGTCTTTCAGAAGTTGGCTGGGTGAAAGGCTCATGGGCTGTATTTGCCGCATGGAACCATGGGGCTGCATTATTGGTTGATGAAACGCCGAGTCAGATGTTCGACCCCATTCATACGCTCCGAATTATGCATGAATATCCAGTCACCAACTTTTGTGCTACTCCAACAGCCTACAGGCAATTAGTCACGTCCCAAAGTCGGGAGTTTGCGGCTTCGCATCCTCCGCAGATGATCAAAATCTGTATCAGTGCTGGCGAGACAATCGAAAGCACTGTGATCAATGCCTGGGGGGAGATGACGCGAGGAGCAACAATTTTGAATGGCTATGGTTTGACAGAGACAGTTTTCCTCTGCACGGAGACCATAGATAGCCAGCGTCCAGGATCAATGGGGCGACCTCTCCCAGGCATTCCACTGGAGATCTTAAGCGATGACGCGGAGGCAGTGGTGGTTGGAGAGGAAGGTGCTATCGGAGTGTGCCTTTCTGACTGCAAGGATTCCATATACGACGTCTTCAATGGTTACATAAACGAAGAAGGTGTTGTTACTCGACCAATGGTACGAAGTGCAGCGGGAAAGGAATATTACCTAACAGGAGACCGAGCTTATCAGGACGAGGAAGGCTACTTCTGGTTCAAGGCCCGGAAAGATGACATCATAAATTGCTCGGGATATCGTATTGGACCTAGTGAAGTTGAAGCAGTCTTGCAGAGTCACCCGGGGGTTCTAGAATCAGCGGTGGTTGGTATTCCGGATGAAGAACGTGGGTCTATCATTAAGGCCTATGTTGTCTTAAACGAGGGGTATGAGACTAGACCTCCGCGAAAGCTGCAGGTCGAACTTCGCCAGCATTTTCTGAACAACAGTGCATCCTACAAATGTCCCCGAGTCATTGAATTCATATCCGGAGCTAAATTACCTCGAACGGTCACCGGGAAAGTACAGCGACATGAACTTCGAGCCTGGGAGCAGAGGTCCAACCAGTGACATCACTTTCTCTACGTGTTCTTTATGTATTCCTTAGCCTTAAGAGTAATAAATTCGACGATCAATATAAACTATGTAGATTGCATATGCAACTACGATCGATATCCACTATCGAAATTGCATTTGCAAGGTGAATGATAAACAGTTTAACCCCGCCTGCAGTCATATTGTTTCGTAAAACCTTATGAAGTGGAGACTTGAAGCGATTCACCTACCAGATGTTGGCTTAGCGACCAGGGACACTACAAGCCTATTTTTAGCGATTAATTCTGCTGAGACAAATGCAAGCTAAGGTTATGGGCATCAACATTGAGTAACACAAGTACAATTTATATTGCGATTTGATGTAGAACATTATCCATAAATGAAGTTTTTCGTGAAATTGCAATGGTAAATTGAATTGATGTTGAATTTTAAGCTATGTGGGTTCACCGAGTACACCCGCGGAAGAAACAGGCGGCCTTTCCCAATTGAGCTTAGCTCAACCATCTCGTTGTCTAGAACTAGGTATTTCTCACAACATGATTCGTCTAAATGTAAACATGGCCACCACTGACTGAAACCGTGTTTCCATTGATCCAACTGGCACCAGAGCTAGCTAGGAAGGCAACAACATTAGCCACCTCTCCGACAGTACCGTGACGTTTTGCCGCACTCGGCCCATTGACTTGTGTATCCCGAAATTCATCTGGAATGTCTCCTCCCTCGACACTAGTGTCAATCTCACCCAGGGCCAAGTTGTTGACTGTCATTTTGTATGGGCATGCGAGTTCATGCGCCCACTGACGTCCCAAGCATTCCAGAGCAGCCTTGGTGGATGCGTATAGGGAGAGATTGTTGATACCTATACGAGATAGTCCCGACGATCTGCAATGTTTTGTGAGTTGCTTGCCAAAAAAAGATGTTTAGGAGTACAAACATATTGATTACTCGGCCATCTTTTTCGGCGATATGAGGGAGCAAAGCTTGCACAAGAAGATGTGGTGCACGCACGTTGACCATGTATTCACTTGATCGAATTGTTAGTTTGCAAAGCAAAATGGCATGTTTTAGGGAAACTCTTCAAATGCTTACTGATCAAATAATGCCCCATCCAGCTCTAAGACTGGTAAAAATGGAGGATATGATGCAGCATTGTTGACGAGAATGTCAATCTTGCTGACATTGAGTCCTTTCAAAGCCTGGTCGATAACACGACGTCCAGCGTCCAGCGTCGCAAGGTCAACTTGCACCAGGCAGGCCGCACTCCCTAATTCACTAATTTGACTTGCGACTTTTTCAGCTGCCGGAGTACTTTTATCGGAGTGGTACACAATGGCAACGTTGGCACCGCGCTTAGCAAGTTCCAGAGCAATGCCAGCTCCGATTCCACGTGAACCACCAGTCACTATGGCGGCTTTCCCTTCGAGGGAGATATTGGGGGGAAGGTTAAACGAAGTCATTGTCAATTTTCTTAGTTGAGTAGACTGATTGAGGAGGAAACTGAAATCTGATGGAGGAGTAGAATTTCAACACCTTGGGCTTACTGAAAAAGTATAAAGCCACGTTATTATGAATCTTCACGAATGACATATGCTACAAAATTCATCTGTGAATATCCACATGGCGTGTCCCTTGCAAAGATAGCTGAAGTGTTTCTGCATTGCATATCTTACGCAATGCGTGTTCCATCGTCGTACAGAGCCATCGGCGGCAAGATCATGCGCGATGTATCTTTCAACTCACTCGACGCTTGAATGAAGAATGCAGAATGATCTGGCCCTGCAGAGTACTCGGCTGCTGCTTAAACTACATGCGCACTACTAAAAGGACATTTTGTAAATCCTCCAGACAATTCAGTATTGGTTGTTCTCGTATCATTAGGCTACATTGCCATAAAATATGCTGTGTGATGTAACGTTGAAGTTGAATATTGAATAATGAAGAATGGTATGATATGCTTGAGTCAGTTCCTGTCAAATGATCTGCCCCCCTGGTCTAATCGGCTGCATTTCTCCACCCTCTCAGCTCCCCTCTTTTTCCCCACATCCATATTCCCCGTCCACTATCAGCTTTCACTAGCAAAACTCGACTCTGAATTATCCGACTCTCGAAGTTCTAAGTCCTTCTAGAACTCACATTCTGAGTGTTTCCATCAAAATTCAACAGTAAATGAGTCGCGTTTTAGGCTCGCTCTACCCGTCACTAATGAACGATTGAGCTCTGACGCGGTCATTTAGTGAACGCAAGTTATGCGGGATTTTTGATGAATTTCCTTTCCTTCACGTTGATTGGACTTGCCATTGTAGGAGATCTCTGCAAGAGACTCACTAACTCGAACATAGTCACCGTGTATTGCGAATCACTAGTATGAGATCGCGAGTTTCTTCTAACTTGGGTTAGGTACAAACATAGATTAGGAAAGTCGTTTTTTTCGGATGTAGATTGTGAATGCGATGGACTAAGACCGATCAATCTAATCCAAAATAAGAAAATTTCCCTTAAAGGTAACCTGTTGATATACAAAACCACACAATATAATGTGTTAATCTCATAAATAAAAGATATACTGAAATAAAATTATGCTTTTAGCAGATTTACTCATTCAGTGCTATACATAATACCACAATACTCAATAAAAATTGAGAGTCCTATCACGCACTATCTCAAAAATATTACATACTTACTGTCAAATGTGATTCATGACTTTGGTGTAGTGGACCCTACATATGTGACCAGCAACAATTGCATATTCATT